TGGAGCAGGGCAGGGAGGGGATCCTGCCCCTCTGCCCAGCCCTGGGCAGGCACATCTGCAGGGCTGGGCCCAGCTCGGGCTCCTCAGCACAGCAGGGCCAGGGAGCTCCTGCAGCGGGGCCAGCGCAGGCTGCGGAGATGCCCAAGGGATGGAGCAGCTCTGGGAGCAGCAAAGGCTGAGGGAGCTGGGGCTGTTCAGCCTCCAGAGCAGAGCCTGAGAGGGGCCCTCCCCAGGGGGTGTCAGGGGCTGCAGGGAGGGGGCAGAGGCTGGAGCAGGCTCTGCTCGGGGGGGCCCAGCAATGGCCCAAGAGGAACGGGCAGGAACTGATGCCCAGGAAGTTGCAGCTGGACAGGAGGAAGAACTTCTTTGCTGGGCAGTGACCCAGCCCTGGAGAGAGAGCAGAGAGGGTGTGGAGTCTCCTGACTGGAGATCTTGCAGAGCTGTGTGGACACAATCCTGTGCCATGTGCTCTGGGATGGCCCTGCTGGAGCAGTGAGGTGGGACCAGATGAGCCACTGTGGGCCCTTCCAGCCTCACCCACTCTGAGATTCTGTGTTTCTGTGACTCTTCTTGGTGGCTTCTTGTCAGGCAAATGGGCTCCTTTTCTGTCTGTCCATATCTCTGTCCACCACTCTGTCTGTGATGCTGCTGACACCATGGTCATGTCCCCTGTACAGAGGTAATGGCAATAGCAGAGTGTCTCACCAACAGTGTAGATATTTTTTCATGTTTTGTCTATAATAGAAAGAAACTCTGGAAAACCTGATTACGATGTCATGTCTGAACACTGTCGTTGTTCAGGATGAAGCAAAGGGTGCAGGAAAGTTAGGCTAATAATGTAGATGTCCACAAATAGTCATTTTACATGACAAATCAATGTTTCAACCTTTCTGCATTTGTTTTCTGTCAACATTAAAGTGACTGAGTTTTACTGAAAAAAAAGCATATAAAAAGTTCATTTCAAAATCATAACAGGAATATTCACAGAAAATGTATTTTAAATTCCATACACCAGATACATCTTGGAAGCAGGAATTTGCTCCTCTAACCGAGGACATCTTGTGACTAACATGACCAGTCACCACAAAACAACATAGCAAAGATATTAATGAATAATCCACATGGATTAATTCAAGAATGCATCTGCTCAATAGTTTATGGAAGTCAAAAGCAAACATTTTGTGAACAGAAATAAGTGATCACGTTCTCTAAATAGAGAGCACACAGCTGCTGCTGCTGCACATTGCCCCGTCTCCTCTGGGATTTGCTGGCATCTCCCCATGTTAAACACCAGAAGTTCCCTGATCACCATTCAAAAAAGTTCATGGATTGGTCCCTGTTTCTGGAACTGTCCTGAACATTTACTGTGTTATTTTTTACCGTCTACTCTGGGTCAGGTGGTAAAAGTGGAAGACTCATCAAGAGGAGTATCACTGGATGCTTTCCCGAGCAAAAATCCAACCTCTGAGTCTTAGAAATCAAAATAAGCAGATGAGAGTTTTGTTATTTGGGTTTGTTATTTGGTTTTGTTCATCTTTTTAAATGGTTTCTGCTAGTGGGTCTCACCAGCAAGCAGCCACTGTATCTTCAAACAAGCAGTAAGTATCTTCAGGAATTGTAGTTACCTGTGTGAGCTGAGGATCCATGCAAGATTATTTTCCCTGTAAGGTGAGACTGCATAAGCCGACATGTTCAAAAGGAAGATAGTTCGTTTGTTTGTCTGCAAATATGATTAAACTTTGGACCTTCCACAGAGCTGTATGGAGGTCAAAAAAAAAATAAATAGGTTCAGTAACATAGTTCCCAAAGATGAAGGCTTTACCCACACTAGGCAGGATGGCTAACACTGCTACATCAACATCTTGAGGTAAATTAAAATTAAAAGCAGTGCCTTAAGCACCTTGCATTCCATGGAAAAGAGTTCTCAGCCCTCAAATCTTGAACCTTGACCTCTATAATACTGGGAGAATGATCAATCCTCTGCTCCTGGCATACATTGATACCATTGATTATTCCTGCCTCTTGCTGCTCAACATTCACTGATGATTATTCACTTCTCACTCACTCTTTCAAAATGAACCTTTAAAACTCAAAGGCCACCCATCACCTGAACCACAGAGGGAGTCAAAGGCCTGCAAGGACTATCAGTATGTTGTTTTTCATTCTCAGAAGGAAAGGCAAAGCACCCTCAAAACCTTACAACGCTCTACCTCCACTCCCACCCCACCTGGCATCTACACTCCTCCAGTCGCTCCAAAGGTGCAATATAGAAAATTATTTACATATATCACAGAGGAAGAGGAGACAGAAAATATTTAGCAATTGTCAACTTATTGCAGCCGTTAATAGATACACTGAAATTGTTAACTGAGGGGAGGTACATCATTGTGAAATAAAAGTGCTATTGCTGATTGTGAGCTGAATCTCTTTGTGAGGTAACAGAAGCGCTTTCATGGATATTTAGATCAGATGCAAGATCTGCACTGCTTATCTGGCATTAGATTGTCTTATTTCGTTACTCGTTGTTGAACCAACCAGATGAAAGGATGAGAAGTAATTTTCGCTGGTGTGCACTTTTTTTCCTCCTATGACCAATATTTAAGAAATTACTTATGGCAGAAATATCACCATCCAGCAGATGGTTATGAATATAATTTCTTGTAAATTATTTTTCAAATCCTTAGTCTTTACTTCCTCCTAAGTCTTTGTCTGACTGCGTGACTTTGATAAAGCTTCACAAATATGCTGAAAACTTGTCTTCTTTTTCTATTCCTTTTCAAGTTTATTTTTTAGGGTGGGAAAAAAAGGGGCTGGATCATTTTTATTAGAATCTTCTTGGCATTAAATACTGTAGTTAAATAATCTTTTGGTGTCAACACACAAAGGGTAAAATCCTTTCAAGGAAATTATGCTTTTGATTTTGGTGAGATGAGTTGGGTTTTTTTTTTAGTCTTTATAATCTCCCCTCACAGGGTGTAAAATTGTAAGAAGATCTCACTCTGTGTGTGAAGAATTATTCAAATGCACACCACTTCACTTAGCAAATAAGTTTTGTTAAACATTTTTGGTCCCTCTCTGAGTTATTTTATTCCCAACAAAGATGCGAAGACCCAAGAAAAAGAAAGCTTTTCCCGTGAGAATTGCTTACTGCTTGAGTGCAGTCTCCTGAAGGTGTATAAATAAATTGCAAGAGGGATTTTTTTATTCTCTTGGTAGTATTTCCAAGTAATTTATCTTTTGATCTTTCAACTCGAGAAACAACTTCATGCACTAAAGTCAGAGGTGAATCATAGGAAAGTTGGGATTTGGAATGCTTGAACCCTTTCTTGCAACTTTCACAAACTGGCAATAGTTCCTTTAGAGAACTTGTAATGTGACTTATGTGGCCGATGTAAAATGTGTACGACCTGAAAGGGAAATGAGGCAGGAAAATATGAATCCCAGATAACAGCAAACAATTTGCAGGTGAGCTACTTGACCTTATGCTTACTGGAACAAATAATGGGCAAGCAACTGAATGGATGCAATTTGTAAATCAAGTGCTTTTCACTGATAAATGCTGGGGATTCCACTGTCACTTTGGTGTTCCTGATTTCCCATCTACCTGTCCTTCGGTGGTCTTGCATAACCTGTCCAGTCTCGTATTTCTACATCTCTCTCTCCTGTACTTTGCTGGATAATTGCCAACACCACAAGCTCATAGAATTTCTTCAGTCACTCCACTCTCCTGTCAGGAACTCACCCAACAACTGTAAATCATTGCCTTTCACAATACAAGCTACTGTCCCTGCTGGCATTAGCTTGTTCCCTTCCTATTCCTGTCACCCAGTCACATCTTCAACCACATTTCTGTGCATAAGCCTGTACTCTCTTCTCTGGTGAAACTCCATCTAAGGATCGTTGTGGTTCTCTCCTCTCAGACACAAGGTGTGACCTGCTGCCAAATCAAATGCTCTTCCAACAGAATCCCCTGTCCCCTGCATAGGCTGGGTGGTACCTCTGTGTAGGGCCTCTGTCCAAAGAACTCATCCAACACTGCACTGGACCAACTAATTACCTAAATGAGAAAACAGCAAGACTGCCCTTCAGCACGAGGCAGTGTGGGATGGAGTGCCAGGGCTGGACTGTCTCATTGCTGCAGTTTGGCACTGGAGCTAACACAGAACTGAGGAAACTAAATCAACCCGAGAGCCAGCGGGGACCTACTTGTAACAGCACTGGAAGTTCTATCACAACTCTTACAGCTTCTGATGAGTAAGATGATGAAGGGACTGGAATACCTCTTTTACAAGGAAAAAAAACCCAAACCAAAAAAAACAACCAAAAAACCCCAAATCAAACAGGATGACATCCATCCCTTTGCTATAGCTATGGATGTGGTTAAGTTTCTATGTTTATTTTTGCTCTCATATGCTACGAACTTCTCCATCTGAATTTTAATGACCATGAACAGTGCTGGGCTATGAATTCTGAAGCACTGAATGTACATATAAAACATATTTAACTGGTTTCACCCACAACTCACTTCACTCAGACTGTGAGTGAGGACAAGGTACCAAATGAAGCATTACTCCTGATGAAATGGCAGTCAGTGCAATGTTTGGGATGGTCCTTGGGCATCAAGAGGAGCCCACCAGCCCATCAGGAACCTACCTGGATAGCACCATGAAGTCACAGGCCAGCAGGAATGGACAGTGGCCTCATGATGTAGGAGACAGACTTGCAGTTTTCTCCAGCCCCTGCAGTTCTGTTGGCAGTCACAGGCAGCAGCAGTGCTTTGCAGAAGGTGGGTTAACCCTCAAACCCTGAGGGAGGCTGAGTCCCCTCTGGGGGTGCCAGCTGTGGAGGGAATCCAAACAATTCATTCAGACTGATTTCTTAACTTTCAGATTTCTAAAGTGAGGGGAGGTAGATCCCACTCTTTTTGTCTTTCTGCACCAAAACCTGGAAAGGGATACAAACGAAACGCTCTGGGAGGAAGGATGTGAGTGAGGAGCTGGCTTGGAAGGCACAACACCTGGTTTTTGTTGCTGGATCTGCCACTGGCTCCTTTCAACAAGCTGCACTCTCATGGTGCCTAAACACTGTGTAAATGGAATAAAGAGAATTTTCTTGTCTCTTGGAATTATAAGGTCTTCACTGTAAGGGTATGTGTGACACCTTGGAAGTGCTGAGTATTACAGTAAGACAAAAACCCCCACACTTTAGAAAAAGTTTTCATGATTGTGAGAATCAGAAGGACAGAAAAGATAAGGAACCAAGGGTGCGCAAAGAAAAATGAGAGTCAAAGTCTTGTCCTAATTCAGCAGTTCAGAAACTGGCAAAAGGCAAAGAAACGAAACCTGTCACTATTCCACCACTCCCCCACAGTCCATATGTGTGAGCTGCACAGTGACCCTCTTGCAGCTCTTTCAAGTCCATGATCTCATTTGTAGCTTATAATTTGGGTCTTGTTAAGATCTTTATTATCTCAAGCTTCTTTGCTCAGTTTCTTTTCTGAAAAGAAATTCGGAACAGAAGAGTAGGGATGAGACACCTGACACTCCAGGAGCTGAGACAGCTGC